GGTCTGGAGGAGTCCCTCCTTGTGTTGTCAGGGTTTGGGCTGTGGTTTGAGTCCCCGAGTCCACAGCAGCGCCTGGAACAGTGACTCGATCCTGAAAGCCCCCGAGTGAGGTTTGGTGGGTTGTGAGACGCAGCGTCGCTGTTCGGCGTCGGTCAGGAAATCGTCCTGCTTCATCCCTCCCCTCGTCCCAGCACGACCTAAGCTGCTAATGTCTCCTGAGCTCCAGAGGGAGATTGAGCGGCTTTGCGTGATTCAGAATGGAATTCCAGCGCTGGAAAACTTCTGTTGCTAGGGGTTAGGGGAGGAAGTCTGATAAAATATATTTACGTTAAAAGAGGAACGTGGCAGTCGGATTTTTTATTTAATTTGCCTTTTTCACCTACGCTTTTGTCCCTGGAAGACTGGGATCCTTTGCTCTCCAGAAGTACTGGATGTTGTGGCCGTGGAGGAGCGAGACTGGATGTTGCAAGGGCCCTGGTCCCTTGGTCTTGCAGTGGTTTTGCTTGATGCTGATCCAGAACTCATTAGTCCTGAATTTAAGATCATTAAGTCACGTAAGACTAGAGAGCAGTGAATGTTTTTGCTGCAACACCTTTATGGACAGTTGCCCAAGTTCTGTACGAGTCACGTACAGCGCTGTGCCCGCGGCTGGGCTGCGCCTTGGGTTGCTGGGCGTTGGCAATGCTCCAGCAGCGTGCTGGGAGAGTCGTGCTGCTTCCCAGCGGAGTGAAAAAATTCCTCGTTTCAATTGGGTCCCAAACACCTGGTTTTATTGTTTGTTTGTTTTTTCCAGGTCTCCTGTGCTGTAAGTATACCAAATGTGATGTTTAGACAGAATATTTGACGGTGGAAAAACGTTTTCTGATACAGAGGAAGTAATTCTTTTATGGAGATTTAAACATGTTGTTTCCATTGGTCCTTACAGCTGGTTTATAACGGGAACAAAAGGTGAAACAAACCCCCCAGCCTGTGTGTGCTGCCCAAGAGGTGGGACCAGAGGCAGGGGAGTAAAGTGGGCGTTTCTGTCAGTGATGTGTCGCTGCAAGTCAGGAGAGGCAGGACGTTTCTTTTAAGTTACGGTGTCCTTTTCACTTTTTTGCTGTGTTGTGAGATGCCTGACGGCTGCCTCCCCTGCCTCGTGCAAGATACGCTGCGACAGTTCGGGAGAGCAGGGATTCAATTGCTTGGCTCCGACTCAGCAGGAGGTTTTGTCCTTTCAGAGATGATGTAGCAAAAAGCATCTATTTTGAACTTAAAAGAAAAAAAAAAAATCAAGGAAACTTCAGGCACCACCATCTTTTTGGAAAGCTGTGATTGCTCCTGCCTTTAGTTCTGAGACTTGTAATTGCAGCAGCGACCTGTGTCTCCCGAGAAGTGCAGCGCTCTCGCCCTGTGGAGCGTTTACGTGGCGTTCAGCAGATGTAAAGTTTATTTTCCTGCTGTTTCCTAAACAACGCAGAAAGCAGAAGTCAGGGGAACAGGCTGCAATTTCAAGGAATTCATATTGATTTGGTTTTAATGGGAGGAAGCCTGGAGCCTGTGTTTGCAAGTGCTTCTCTTTTCAAGGACGTGGAAGGGGGGAGGGAGTCCAGGGGTGCTATTTTTTTCTTGGCGATTGTTTGCAGACCCTGCAGTTGAGCCTCCCTTCCCACCCTCTCTTGCAGTGTGGCCGCAGGAGGAGTACATCGTGGAGTACTCCTTGGAGTACGGGTTCTTGCGCCTGTCCCAGAGCACCCGGCAGCGCCTCAGCATCCCCGTCATGGTGGTGACCCTGGGTGAGTGGGGGAGGCAGCCCTCGCTGGCGCAGGGCCGGGCAGGTGCTCTGCACCGATCCCTACGCGCTCTTTCCTCTTTAGTCTTGAGGCAGCTGTTTATAACAGCGGATGGCGCTCGTTTTCCACGCAGGACGGCTCTTGGGGAGCCTGGGTGGCTTTAGCAGGTCGTACCTTCCCCCGAGGAGAGGTGTGAAATGGTGGAGGCCGTTCCAGCGAGCCCTCGCCTTGCGTCCAGCGCAGTGTCCTCACTGCGGGGGGCAGAGCCTCGCCGTGCTGAGGGGCTGGGCTCAGCGTGGGGCGGCAGCAGCGCAGTTAGAGCCCCGTGGCGAGAGCCCAGCGCCCGTGTCGGGGCCGAGGGTGAGCCGGTCGGCGCGGCGCTGTCTCGGCGTGCCGCTGCGCCCTGCTAGCGCCAGCAGCCCGTCTGCCTGGACTGGCGTTTGCTCCGTTAAAACCTGTCCGAGTCAGGAATACGGTCTCCAACCTTCTCATGCCTGTGAACTTAATTGATCTGTAATGAGCTGGTAGCGCAGCAATCCGACAATCCGACCCGATTTCACTACTTACTCCTGGTCAGACTGAAGTGCAGCTGGGCTGGCGTGTCCAGCAGTGATCCCCTGTAGGTAATGGGCAGTTTCCGTGTTAAACTGACCTGGGTTTTCCGATTCAGCTGGACAAAATCCTTCATAAGTACCCTGGTAATTTACTGAAAAATTATTTGTGTCCATGCTGCTTGATGTGCTCAGGTTTGGGTTATTTTTACAAGCGGGTCGGTGCAGTACCAGCCCCCCGAGATGGAGCTGAACAGCCTTCATCAGTGCCCGGAGCCCCGGGGGGGCATTTGCGTGTCCTCCACCGCAGGGGGGTGGATGGGGCTGGTGGGCCCAGCGGTGTCATGCTGAGCTGATGGCTCAAACGTCTCAGCCTGACCCCTCTGAGCCTCAGCAGAACTTGGTTCTTTGGGCCATTAGTTGGGGTGAGCCTGGGGAGGTAGCCCAAGCCTGGAGGGCAAACTCCCTTTATGTCTGTGCCAGCGGAGGGTCTGGCAGCCCCGACGCCGCTCTTAAGGCCTGGTGGACATCAGCATTTTGCCAGCGTGGCTGGATTTGTCAGGGCGTGATGTTTTCCCTCCCAGTCGTGCCCAGTTTAGTCAGACTGCCGAAGGTGCGTGTGCAGACGCGCGTCTGCTGGCAGATCTGTCCATCCGCGCGAGGAGAAGACGCTGTGCTGGCCTTGCCGCCTCCGTGGCTTAAGGTAGGAACAGTCTGAGTGGGGTTTCTTGTCTTCTCTAGATCCTACCAGGGATCAGTGCTTCGGGGACAGGTTCAGTCGCCTGTTGCTGGACGAGTTCCTGGGTTATGATGACATCCTGATGTCAAGTGTGAAAGCTTTAGCTGAAAACGAAGAAAACAAAGGTAAGGCTGGGAGCAATCGCGTTCAGCAGCTGTGCAGAGCAGCTGATGTTTTTTCGATGGACGCCTGAATATCCTCTTCTGACTGTGGCTCAATCTCCAACGCAGGGAACAGTTCCCTGTGTTGCGTAGGGCTGCTATTGCCCAGGACAAAACAGAAGAAGCAGGGGGCAGAGGTGCCTGCGAACGCGGTTTCCTGCTGCCTTACTGCGCGGCGCAACGGGAGTTGCTGCCCTGAGGAGGCCTTGCCGTGGATTTGCTTTAAATCCTTTGGAAGGCGCTGGAAGTTTGTTCTGAGCTTGTGGGTTTGTGTTGGTTTCTTTTTTTTCCCCCAGGTTTCCTTCGCAACGTGGTGTCGGGGGAGCACTACCGCTTCGTCAGCATGTGGATGGCGAGGACTTCGTATCTGGCGGCCTTTGTCATCATGGTCATATTTGTAAGTGGACAGGAGCTGGGCAGAGCCTGGACGCTGAGCCTGGCGCTGGGCAGCGCATGGTTGATGTAACGGCCCAGGCCTGAGCTCTCGTCCGCTTTTGCGGCGAAGCTGATGGAGTACGAGGTTCTGCTCTGTCGGGTTTTACTTTTTTTTAACGTGGGTTCTCAAAAGCCCTCGCAGTGAAACGCACAGAGGAGCTGAAATGGCTTGAAGTGATGGTTTGGTTGTCAAGAGGGAGATTGACGTCCGAGAGCCTCTAAGTGCAGTTGAGGCACTTGTCTAAGTGCTGCCGGGGCGTGGGGTGCAGGAGTGGGTCCTCCGAGGCTCCTGAGAACAAACCCAACTCTGTGCTGGAGTGATCGAGATAGAGCCGAGTGTCCTGTGATGGTGTGGGCCGAGGTGATTCCAGATACGTAGGAGACAAGAGCCCACGTGGTCACTAAGCCCTCAGGTGACTGTGTCCCTTTGTGTCCGACTGGCCCCTGGTGTCGCTCCTGGTGCGACGACGTGGGCAGTGAGAGCGGGACACACGTGCTGGGTGGCTGCGCTCGGGGAGGCCTCTCGAGCCGTGGGAGGAGCACAGATGTGGGATGGGAAGAACCCCAAGTGCCATTGCTTTGGGCCTTTGGGTTCAGAATCGGGCTCTTCACAAACGAACGGCTTGCTCTCTATTTCGCTGCAGTAATACGCAGATTAATTGCTGTTGGTGAAGCCCTCGTTACTCTTTGGGAAGTCGCTCTGCGTAGCTCGAGCGAACGAACGCGGGGAGTGCGCGGCGTGGCGGGTCCGAACTCGCCCGGCCGGGCCTCTGCCCTCGTGCCGTTCCGCAGGCGGGACGTCCCCGGACACGCGTGGCTCTGACGCTGGCTTCTGTTCTCCCCTTTCAGACTCTCTCCGTTTCGATGCTGTTGCGTTACTCGCACCATCAGATCTTTGTCTTCATCGGTAAGGACTCTCCCGAGGGATTCGGGGTGTGCTGGACCCTGTGCCCGCTCCAGCGCCGCCCGTCGTGCGTGCGCTTCTTTAGGAGGGTCCCTTAGGCAGCTGCCCAGGGAATACCTCCCCCTGCGCCTGTCACCGCGCTGGCGGGCGCTGTTCTGTCTCTTGACAAGCATCAGGGACGGAGGGCTCGGGAGTGTGGACTTCAGCGCATGTTGGGGTGCTCTGAATGGGGAGTCGTGTGGGGCCGGGGGGTTCCGAGGCCCCTTTGGGTCACGGCGTGTTTTCCTTCCCGCAGTCGACCTGTTACAGATGCTGGAAATGAACATGACGATCGCGTTCCCCGCGGCTCCCCTCCTCACCGTCATCCTGGCTCTCGTGGGTAAGGACCGAGCTCGCCGCTTGCCCGTGTGCAGCGAGTCCCTCCGGGAGCCAGGGAAAGCCCCGTTCCCTGTTGTGGCCTGGCCGTGGCAGGCGCTCAGTGCGTCTGCTCGGCACAAGGGGGAAGGCTCTGGAATTCGGTGGCACAGTGAGCTGCGTTGTCCTTCTGGGTCCCTGGAAAAGCAGGTCGTGTGGAAATCCCATAAACCGGAGCTTTGGCTGCCCCTGGTTCGTTTCAGACTCACGCTGCCTGTGGCCACGTTGCGTGAGCACAGTTTGGATTTGAAAAGCGAGCAACAAAACCCCCCCAAAACCCGAAACCTGCGCAGTGGCTGCCGTCAGCAGTGAAGCGCGTTTGCCCGTAGCCGCTGGTTCCTCCTGCGGGGGCTTTGCTGCGCGGTCGCTCAGCCCCAGCTCCGACGCGTCGGGGGGTTCCCTCGCCTGCCCGTTCGGGAAGGCCGC